ACCTACCTTTTTTATGTGACCCACCGCTATTAGAGAAATGTTTAGGATGGTAGTGATCCGTAAATGTGGTATAAATTGCAGTACTATATCCAAATTAAAGTTAAACCTAACCAGTAGGTTTAAGGCAACTAAGTCACTATATAGATCCCTTTCTCTATGCGAGTGTGTTTTTGGGTGTGTGGTAACTAGTACGCAGTAATTACCTGAACACAGAGGGCAACGATATCAGCAAACCGTGAGACTGACTTGGGAGGGTAGAGTCCACGCAGTGCAGGGTCCACCATTTGTGACAATGCATCGAGATCATGAAGCTGGGGAGTTGCCCATCGTACAAGGCACTGCTCCGCTGGTGGTTTTGAACTAAAGAGAGGAACCAAACCGGTTTAGAATTGCATGACATCAACAATATTAGCGTGAATGGAAGGGAGAGTAAGACGCAAATCTAACATACCTGTCAACAGGCATTCGACCTGTCAATAGTTCCAACATGACTACTCCAAAACTGTAAACATCACTCTTTCCTGTAAACGCTGATGGCTTTGTGCATTCTGGAGCGTTGTATCCCATCCCGAGGTTTTGGCTAGTACGCTGAAAAAAAGAAGGAAAAATCACCATCAATACATGAAAATATTCGTATTCCCTATAGACAGCAAAGCCCGGATATCTTTTATACATGAAAGGTTGCATTTAGTTTTAAGAGTGGCGGGAATTAACCTGGTGAAATGTTGCCAAGCCATAATCGCAAAGACGGGGATTAAGTTCGATGTCAAGAAAAATATTGGATGATTTGATGTTCTTGTGAACTGTGGATGGAGAGCAACCATCATGCAGGTACCTGAAACAATTTACAAAGAGTTTATTACAATTATTACAAGAAATCCTGGTAAACCAAAATAACTAATTGCTAGATATATAAGTATATATATTCACTTACTCAACAGCCCGGGCAGTGCCTAAAGCGATTCTGACTCTTGTGTTCCAAGTTAGAGGATTACTGTAGTCATCTGACATGTGTAAGAATTCGTGAAGCGAGCCATTCCTGAAGTACTCATAAATCAACATGTTGTGCCCGTGTTCTGAACAATAGCCAACAAGCTCAGCGATGTTGGCATGACGAATCTTGGAGATGTTTACAACAATGTCAGAAAATTCTTGCGGCGGTGAGCCTTGAAAAAGTGAGGAATCAATCTTTTTAACTGCCAAAACCTGACACGCATATATGGAATAAAATTTTTAGAAACAAAAATTATAACATGAACTTATAAAGGTTAGCTAGAGAAATAGCAATCATAGAGTGATAGTAAAATATTACCTTCCCATCACTATATTTAGCCCTATAGACACGTCCAATGGTGCCCTGCCCGAGAAGGCGAGCTGGTGCAAAGTTAGCAGTGGCAACCTGCAAATCTGCCAAAGCGTAAGCAGTAGCTTTTACAGAGGTGCTTCTTCTGGCAAAGGATTGCAAACGGCCAGACAGCGACTTGAAACCAATTGATGGAGATTTTGAAACAGGCTTTATGTCAATTGAAACGGTAGAATCTGTCACCAGCACATCGTCTAGTTAGTCGAGAGTGATCCCACATTACAACATAAATCAAATGAGAATCGAGAGGGAAGAAAGGGGAGAAAGACATTCCAAGGACAATTAATACTGTTTATATTTTCCACGAAAGAAATTTTCGTAACGAAGAAATTACCTTTGTAGTCAGAAGTCAGTTCTTTAGATAAATCCTTAGATGAATAGATACGAAACGACTTGCGCTGGCTAAGCCTGTCATCATCGAGGAGATGCGAAGTAGAAGAACGTTTTTTTCTTGAAAACAGTGCAATTATAATTGCAAGCAGCAACAATACGGCAAGAGCTATTCCAGCTATGGTTACTCCGGTGACTACAGAAGAGTTGCTGCTGCCACTCTTTTTGCCTGACCCTCTATTACGGTGTGCACCAGGAGGAGAAGGCGGAGATGGTCCAGACGACCAGGAGTTTCCTCCAGACCTTCAATTAGTAAAGTCAGAAAAAATTTCTCAAGCACTGCTACCTAGATTGATCATTTAAAGAGATACTCACTTTATGTTTATACCCTTCAAATCGTTGGGGATCCAGCCGGAAAAGCGATTGTTTTCGATATTCCTGCCAGCACAATAATGAATTCATTTTGTGAAAAAAAAATATTACAAACTGTAGCGGGTACATAAGGAAACTCAAAAGTTTCTTTTAATTTCATTAGAAAGGTTTAACAAACAAACATGTTATAAGGTGTTTTACTAAATGAATTTTCGTCTATATAACAAAAATCTAGATCAAAGACACTTACAATTCCTCGACGGGAGTGTACATAAGCACGTTGATTTGACCGGTTAGTTGATTGTTCTGCAGATACCTGCACAAAGACAAAGGGATCAGCAACCAGGAACCTTGAACACAAAAATATATAAATTCAGATTTAATGCTTCTTACAATTTTTTGAGGCTTGAAAGCTTTCCAAAACTCTGAGGCAAGTTGCCAGTCAATGAGTTGTACGATAGATCCCTGCACATGATTTCATGATATACGAGTTAGTCACTAACCCTTAATTGAAGTATAGCAGCAAATCTCTGTCTGAACTAAAAAGAGGGTACAAGAGGTCAAGAATCAATTGTCAAATACAAAAGTGGCGCTACAACTGGTTACATTCTGAATAAATTTCAAGTAATCATGTTAAAATATGAAAGTGGGACCTTTGATGCAAAGTTAGAAGAACTTACAGCTCTTCGAGTTTAGTAAGTTTGCCAAACATATCACTCAACTGTCCATTGAGCTTGTTACGGCCAAGATTTCTGCATTCATCGAACGAATGTTTAGAAATGGGAGTGACTTCGTTAGAAGATTATGTGAACAAAGGAAGACTTGGTTAGAAAATTATGTGAACAAGGGAACATGTTCTACTTACAGAGTTTCAAGGTCAGACATCTGAGATACTGAATATGGTACTGTGTTCGAAAAAGCATTTTGAGAAAGATCTCTGCACATCAAGGTCGTGAGATTAGTATTGACAACGATGGAAATATATCTGCATACGCGCGTGCACAAACTATAACAGTGTAATAAAATATGAAATCTTTTTTCTGCAGACTTACATGTACTTTGCATTAGGAGGCAGCTGATAGGGTATATCACCGTTGAGGTTGTTCTTGCTTAAATCACTGTACTATGACGAAGGAATGCACATCCGTCAGCTTATGCGCCTTGAAAAGAAAACCGAACAAAAAGAAAAATGCCTATTCTAATGAGCTAAGCATTACAATTTAGTGACCGATGTTAAGCTTGCAAGCTGGTATCCCATTGATCCGCTGAGCCCTAGGTCGGACAAGTCTCTGCAAAAAATGTGAAAGAAAATAGGTTCTAACTTGGGAATACGAGACAAATAACGCAAGTTCTGAATGTATGTTAGAAATGAGAAATACATTTGGGTTACAGATGAGCCTGAGCATGTTATCCCCTTCCATGAATCGCCGCAAGGGTCGCCTCCACTTGATTTCCAACCGCTTAGCTTAGAACGAGACTGTAAGCTGTTATACATCACATTAAGGGCAGATACTGCAAGACACACAAAAACATCGGAATGTCGATATAGGTAAATATGTAAGTACCTAACTAGCTGAACGCAATTTATCTTCATTGATCGTTAACGGAATGTAAGCCCATAAGAGGTAAAGGCAACCCCAAAAAATTGCTATTAGAAACGTTTCGAGGAAGCTAAAAATCTAGAGGCCATTATGAAACGTTTTAAAGAAAAAGTTCTCGTGCCTTTTCAAATGATCATATAAGGAACATCTCTCGCGATCTTTTCACCCGATATATGTCGTAATTGTAGTCATCTACTAGTAATGCGCAATTAGTATATGTTCCTAAAAAAATTCTCAATCTGAAAAAGAAATTCTCATCGTTGCAAAATTGAGCCTAAATTTGAAGATCTAAACACAAGAAACTACACACTTAACACAAATCGGACCAAAACAAATTTGAGACTTACCATCTTGAGAATTGGTCTTGGAATAAACGCCGGTTGCGAAGAACGTCAATAAAACAACCCACAACACCAGAATGTTGTGGAAGTGGATCATCCTTTCCCGTACAAAAAATTGAAACCTAACTCAGAAATAAATAAAAAATCACAAAAAAAAAAAAAAAAGTTAAAAATTGATGGGTTATGTGGTTTAGATTTGATTCGACATTGTTCGATTAAGGAGCTACAAAGAGAGAAAAGACAACCCTAAATAACATTAAATTTGTTTAATTTTTTTGATGAATATTGTTATTATCTCTGGGTTGGTTTTTTTCTGAGAATGGTTGAGTTTTGTCTAAAATTAGAGACGACGAGGAAAAGAAATGGTTGAGAAATACAGCATTTGCAACAGACAGTCTCCAGCGAAACGTGAGGACACAATTTACAGCTCCCAACGTTTTCCGCCCTTTTCAACTGTTTTTCAAAATGTCCAGCTGGATTTCCCACCTTGCCTTTTTCGTATGCAGTATTTCATTTTTGTATATACTATTTACTATGCAACCGCTATACCCAACTTGTTTTTCTCAACAAATTAAATCATGTATCGTATACGCTAGTTGTATGCAAGACAACTATCTTCTCGTATCCAACTTTATCTGACCAACTCTTGTGAGAAGGTTATTCTATCCAAAAATTTCTTCTTCCAAGTGTTTACGTGATTAGAACATGCGCAAACACCTTAATATAGAAGACCCATGCATTACATTACCCTCACAAGCAAATCACGTGTCACAAGAGATTGATTAGAACCCATAGTTCATTATCTAATTAATTTTTTCGTTCTAATACTCTCTCTGAGAGTTATAAGTATTTTTCAAAGCTATCCCTATCTAACGGAACGTGATCGGACCAAATGACAAATACATTGTTAAGAAAAAGAAGGCTTTTCCCGGATGAAATGAAAATTGAATTCATGTAACAAGAGAAAGGTTTCCCATTCCTTAGCCGGAAAAATATGTGACCATGAAACTTAATAACAGGGATTAAGTGGAACATAATTGACAGGGCGGGAAAGTCGTGAAAACACCCATTCCTTAACTACTACTGAAACATGGAAAAATCGAAATCTTAGATCAAAACATTGTCTGCAGAAATTTGACTTTACTAGGATATCAACACATCTCAGGGTCATAACTAATGGGGAAAATGAAGGATGCAAGTATAATGGTCACATACATATACAACCATCTAAAGTACAAATACCTTACCCTTTCCAACAGTTCCAAGAACTTCAAAAGCAGCTTTGAGTTTATTGCAGATAGGTCTGAGTTTTCATGCAAGAGCAGTGAAATCTTCTACCCGACTGCAGCCGGACAACGTTATAAACTCTGTAACCCGCAAGGGGTCATATAATGACTAGTTGCTGGGACTGGGATATACAAGGTGCGTCGGAGATTCAGAACCAATAAGCCTTTCCCATTGATCATTGTATTGCTAGCCATCAGGTAAATGTGGTAAAAGGATAGCAGATATTAGGCATGATGTACAATTAAGTTACTACTCTCCACTCTTCTTCCGTTTCTCATTTTTTTGCAGAAGTAGAGCATAGTAGTTGGTCTCCATGGTAGATGGCCTAGAAATAATGTAGATAAGAAAACATTACTCCGCCCTCCAAAATTAGTTGTGATGGCAAGAAGATCATGCCCCTCAAATTTCACTGCTTTGACTTGATGAAGCGCCACGCTTACTCCACTTCGTTAAGATGTAAGCCATGGCAACCTTCGCGCCCAGGCTAGAGTGACCACGAGACAGGAAGACCACTCCCCCAAGAAGCAGCAGGCCATTGGCTAACAATTTCTTTGAAGGTCTTATTGACAATTTCCTTCCCTCGCCCGCAATTGGTCTGCGAACAGAAGTTCCTACTGAGGTTGCTTGAGAGGTCATGTCATCCGTGGCTTCTAATCCAGGGGGGACCTGTGTGGAGGAGAATTACAATCAGTAACAACCATGCAGATTAGAAAGATCAGATATTTTGTATCTCTGAAATTAAAAGAAACCAAGCATGAATAGTAAACTATAGATATCATTCAGAGTTCCCTTTACTCCTGGTTACTGATAGGGGCAGGAAAAGCCCCAGTATGGTCACTATTTATTTCACCACTATAAAAACCAGAGACAGGCATCAGCGGAGTAGTGAGTTAACGCAAACATTCAAATTTTCATCTACGCTGCACAATGCTATAAACATGTAGTAATATATGCACCAGATGTAAATAACCTCGTGTAGGTGAAACAAACCCAATATTATCGGCACTCAAGGCCTGTCAGAACCTTTAAGTCAAAAACATGAAACCCTTACCAAACAGCACAATGCTGACAAGATTTACCAAACAAGAATCCCAGATTATATCCAAGTTAGTTGAGCTACACAGGTGCTTAGACAACTAAGCATCGAGTGGAACTGGTTTCTTACATATGACCAAGAGAATTCATCTACCTCAAGTAATTCTCAAGAAATTAATACTAGAGAAACCAGCCAGGTACCCCGATAAACTGGATGAAGCTCTACCAATAAATGCCTTGTATGTAGCATGAGTCCAAGAGAACCAATGTATATTAAAATTTAAACAATACTAATCCATCAAAGAAAGTTGTCCTGGCCTTTTTAATCAACGTGACAGCAGAAGCAGCAGCCCTTGATTGATGAGAGCTGATTGTAGCGTATCTGTTAAGTGCACTGCCCATCTTGCACACATAGCTCCATATGCCCCTAGAAAAAGCCAATTTTGCCATCTCCACATTTAAACCAGCATCTTCTTGATGAAACATCTTGATCTCACAGGCATTAGTATCAGGCACTGTAGCAGATGATTAACACTCATAAAACTATAAACAGTTTCTGTTTCTTAAAATTCAGTCTACCAGAATTTCAGCCAAGGAAACCTTTGTGTAAGTGGTGCTTTTGTGTTTTTCCTGATACGTGCAACGAGCGCCTAAGAAGAAGAAAACTCATTTCTTTATCCACCACAAGTACATTAAGGAAAACTATTGATCCTTCAGAATATTACTGCTTCATGTTCAGCAGTATAAAGCTTGGTAAAGCATATTTCAGCCAAAAAAAAAAATTATTTAGTTAAGCGTGGTGCTTGAAATACGACTTATAGTCGACAATACACGTTTCTGAACAAATATGAAAGCAGCTCAACCTGGGATGAATTGAAAAATTGAAAGAAAACATAAAAACGAAGGAAATTCTTTTTATTGAAAATGTAGAACAAAAGAAACAACAAAGTTGGATTCACTGGAATCATACCTTTTTGGATTCGCCAACCAGATCTGAAAGTACTAACACGCACATACTTCTTCTGGGGTGGTGCCAAAGGATGTTCACATTCCTGTATCACCCATTATTGGAAAGCATATCAGGTAATTTATAAAGAGTGCAAGAAAGTTCTAGAAGGATGAAGAGCACCAACAGAAAAGGAAAAAAAAACACTTACAACAACAACAACAACAACAACAAAGCCTTTTCCCACTAAGTGGGGACGGCTATATGAATCCTAGAACGCCATTGCGCTCGGTTTTGTGTCATGTCCTCCGTTAGATCCAAGTACTCTAAGTCTTTTCTTAGAGTCTCTTCCAAAGTTTTCCTAGGTCTTCCTCTACCCCTTCGGCCCCGAACCTCTGTTCCGTAGTCACATCTTCGAACCGGAACATCAGTAGGCCTTCTTTGCACATGTCCAAACCACCGTAACCGATTTTCTCTCATCTTTCCTTCAACTTCGGCTACCCCTACTTTACCTCGGATATCCTCATTCACAATCTTATCCTTTCTCGTGTGCCCACACATCCCACGAAGCATCCTTATCTCCGCTACACCCATTTTGTGTACGTGTTGATGCTTCACCACCCAACATTCTGTGCCATACAACATCGCTGGCCTTATTGCCGTCCTATAAAATTTTCCCTTGAGCTTCAGTGACCTACGACGGTCACACAACACGCCGGATGCACTCTTACACTTCATCCATCCAGCTTGTATTCTATGGTTGAGATCTCCATCTAATTCTCTGTTCTCTTGCAAGATAGATCCTAGGTAGCGAAAACGGTCGCTTTTTGTGATCTTCGCTAGATTGCTCCGATCATTAGTGTGGATAAGTATATAAATGGATAGAGATAGGAAAGCAAACACCAAGATGTACGTGGTTCACCCAGATTGGCTACGTCCACGAAATAGAGGAGTTCTCATTAATTGTGAAGGGTTTACACAAGTACATAGGTTCAAGCTCTCTTTTAGTGAGTACAAGTGAATGATTTAGTACAAATGACATTAGGAAATATTGTGGGAGAATGATCTCGTAATCACGAAACTTCTAAGTTCCGGAGTGTGGTATCGTCTTGACTTGCCTTATCTGTCTCATAGGTAGATGTGGCATCTTCTCTGGAAGTACTCTTCCTCCATCCAGGGGTGGTATCTTTAACTGGTGGAGATGCACAAGGTAATGTATCAATTTCACTTGAAGCTTACTTGTAGTTTCAGGCTTGGTCAAGCGCGATACAAACCATGTAGTAGGAGTCCTCCAAGTCGCCGAGCTAGGGGATCTGCTGAAAGAGGTGACAGACAAGGTAAGCAATCAGAGCTCCAAGCAATCAGTCCCAGATCAGAACTTTGATTTCGAGTTCCGGCTGATTGTTCACATTCTCCCTATCTTGCAGGCAGCATGAAGGATAAAGAGAAGAAAAATGAGAAGAGATGATATGGGATACTTTTGCTTTTGAAGAAGTAACTTTCCACAGGCTTATTCTTGAACTGGGCTGGAGGGTTTTCTGGTTTCCTCCAGAGTATAAGGCCGACTGAAGAATTTGAGGGTCAAAACAAGTCCATCAAATCTAGAGTACGTTCGACCCTGCTGATATGGGATACTTTTGCTTTTGACAGAGTAGTGGATGTATCGGCACGTGTGCTGTTACGCTTGTCTCCACATGCTTCCTTGTATCCTTCTCACTTGCCCTATCTGTTCCTCAGGCAGATGCGGTATCTTCCCTGGAAGCATAAGATGTTGAAGATGAGTACTCGAGAGCAATGCTAGGTAAGTAATCAAGTAAGGGGTTCCAGGCAGTCAGTTTTGACTAGAAGCTTGATTCCAAGTGTTGACTGATTGCTCTCTTTCTCTTTGTCTTGCAGGTAAGAACAAGGCCAAAGGAAAAGACAGGGAAAAAACATCATATGGGATACTCTTGCTTTTAACCCTGATGATATGAGATATTCTTGCTCTAGTATAGCTTGTTTGCAGAGGTATTATCAGGGGGAAAGAAAGCTGAATATTTCGAAAGGCTTCGTTGGGAGTGCCCTCTCAAATATGAGGAAGGGTTGAGCATTTTTGCAGGTCTGCCTGTCTGTTGGGGATAGAGGTCAACATATATAGGAGTCTCCCTAACAAGTAGTAATGCTATTCCTTTACCCTGCTTGGTCATAACACGGTAGTGGGAGCTGCCAGCTTCACATGTTTTAACTCTGTCAGAGCACTTTGAAAAAGTGGTCTGTGGTATCTGGAAAGCTGATGTTGCGTGTAAAGATTACAGACAAGCTTTATCCAAGGAGATCCGGCTCTTGAAGTTGGGAGAGTGGTGCCTCTTCGGTTTTCGAACAAAAATCCTGTCGGGATCTGGCTCTCGAGATTCGGAGAACGATGCCTCTTTCGATTTTTGAGAAAGCAATCCTGCTGGGGTCTGGCTCTCGAGATTCGGAGAGCGGTGTCTCTCTTCGATTTTTGAGAAAGTAATCATGTTGGGAGTCTGGCTCTCGAGATTCGGAGGGCGGTGCCTCTTCGATTTTGGAGCAAGCAATCTTGTTGGGAGTGTTTTCTCGAATGTGAGTAAAGGTTGGGCATGTTTGCTAGTCTACCTTGCCACGAAGCACAGAGGTTGACACACAGGGACTTTCCAATTATCCAGCAGTGGTACTGTTCCTTTACCCTTGTGGGTAATAATATGGTAGCTAGACCTTCAAAATTTATGTGTCTAAACTTTGTTAGTGCTGTTTCTTTGCTATTCTTTTACCCTTCTTGGTCAGAGCGATGTAGTGGGAGCTGCAAGCTTCACGTGTCTCAACTTTGTCAGAGAACTTTGGCAAAGTTATCTGTGGTACCCATGAGCTAATGTTGCGTGTGGGAAGTGGGTGATTGAACAGTAAGATTCATGTGCTTTCTACTTCACCAGAAATCTTCGACAGAATGCCCATAATTTCCGCAAAGCTGAGTGTGCGTGTGACAGGTGCTGACAAGGCTGGAAAAGTAGGTGCCTCTTCGATTTCTGAGATCGGCCCTCGTGGTCTCTGAGCAGCCCAGCTTTTGAGAAAGCAAGCGCCTCTTCGATTTCTGAGATCGGCCTTCGTGGTCTTTGAGCAGCCCAACTTTTGAGAAAGCAAACGCAAACGTCTCGTGGTCTCTGAGCAGCCCAGCTTTTGAGAAAGCAAACGCCTCTTCGATTTCTGAAGCTCCGTCGAGTGCAGATTTTTATAGAGGCTGGCATTAAGTTCCAAAGCACACTTGAATCTCCACCAGTAGAAGCTCCATTCTTGCACTTCTAAGATCTTGATTTGTCCGACCTCTTCTCTCTTCAACACCTTTGAAAATGTCTGGCCCCTCCGACCGTCGTTTTGACTTGAACCTTGTTGAAGAGGCAGCCACGCCTTCTCCAGACAACATATGGCGCCCATCCTTCGTCTCCCCTACTGGTCCTCTTACCGTTGGGGATTCCGTGATGAAGAATGATATGACCGCTGCGGTAGTGGCCAGGAACCTTCTCACTCCCAAAGATAACAGACTACTTTCCAAACGGTCTGATGAGTTGGCTGTTAAGGATTCTCTGGCTCTCAGTGTTCAGTGTGCAGGTTCTGTGTCTAATATGGCCCAACGCCTATTTGCTCGAACCCGCCAAGTTGAATCATTGGCGGCTGAAGTGATGAGTCTCAAACAGGAGATTAGAGGGCTCAAGCATGAGAATAAACAGTTGCACCGGCTCGCACATGACTATGCTACAAACATGAAGAGGAAGCTTGACCAGATGAAGGAATCTGATGGTCAGGTTTTACTTGATCATCAGAGATTTGTGGGTTTGTTCCAAAAGGCATTTATTGCCTTCGTCTTCTGGGGCTGTACCGCGTAATGAAGCTCCAAATGATCAACCTCTCTGATGCCTCCTCCTTCTAGGGTTCTGTCCAGTACTGAGGCTCCAAATGATCCCCTCCGGTGCCTTCTCTTTCTGGGGCTCTACCGACTGCTGAGACTTCTCCTAAGCAACCTTTGTGAAGGCTCCCTCTTGTTTGTTTATTTTGACTCATGTATATGTACATATTTGTGAACTTATCGGGGATATCAATAAATAAGCTTTCCTTCATTTCAACGTATTGTGTTAAATACACCAAAGCCTTCTTCGCTAAGTTCTTTGAATTTTCTTTTGTTGAAGCTTGTATGTTGAAGCTTTGTGAGTGGAGCATGTAGGTTGAGGTAGTATTCCCTTAATTTCCCGAGTGAGGAAAACTTCTCGGTTGGAGACTTGGAAAATCCAAGTCACTGAGTGGGATCGGCTATATGAATCTTTGAACGCCATTGTGCTCGGTCCTGTGTCATGTCCTCCGTTAGATCCAAGTACTCTAAGTCTTTTCTTAGAGTCTCTTCCAAAGTTTTCCTAGGTCTTCCTCTACCCCTTCGGCCCTGAACCTCTGTCCCATAGTCGCATCTTCTAATCGGAGCGTCAGTAGGCCTTCTTTGCACATGTCCAAACCACCGTAACCGATTTTCTCTCATCTTTCCTTCAATTTCGGCTACTCCTACTTTACCCCGGATATCCTCATTCCTAATCTTATCCTTTCTTGTGTGCCCACACATCCAACGAAGCATCCTCATCTCCGCTACACCCATTTTGTGTACGTGTTGATGCTTCACCACCCAACATTCTGTGCCATACAGCATCGCCGGCCTTATTGCCGTCCTATAAAATTTTCCCTTGAGCTTCAGTGGCATACGGCGGTCACACAACACGCCGGATGCACTCTTCCACTTCATCCATCCAGCTTGTATTCTATGGTTGAGATCTCCATCTAATTCTCCGTTCTTTTGCAAGATAGATCCTAGGTAACGAAAACGATCGCTCTTTGGTATTTCTTGATCTCCAATCCTCACCCTTAACTCGTTTTGGCTTCCATTTGCACTGAACTTGCACTCCATATATTCTGTCTTTGATCGGCTTAGGCGAAGACCTTTAGATTCCAACACTTCTCTCCAAAGGTTAAGCTTTGCATTTACCCCTTCCTGAGTTTCATCTATCAACACTATATCGTCTGCGAAAAGCATACACCAAGGAATATCATCTTGAATATGTCCTGTTAACTCATCCATTACCAACGCAAAAAGGTAAGGACTTAAGGATGAGCCTTGATGTAATCCTACAGTTATGGGAAAGCTTTCGGTTTGTCCTTCATGAGTTCTTACGGCAGTCTTTGCTCCTTCATACATATCCTTTATAGCTTGGATATATGCTACTCGTACTCATTTCTTCTCTAAAATCCTCCAAAGAATGTCTCTTGGAACCCTATCATACGCTTTTTCCAAATCTATAAAGACCATGTGTAAATCCTTTTTCCCATCTCTATATCTTTCCATCAATCTTCGTAAGAGATAGATTGCCTCCATGGTTGAGCGCCCTGGCATGAACCCGAATTGGTTGTCCGAAACCCGTGTCTCTTGCCTCAATCTATGCTCAATGACTCTCTCCCAGAGCTTCATTGTATGACTCATTAGCTTAATACCCCTATAGTTCATGCAATTTTGTACGTCGCCCTTATTCTTGTAGATAGGCACCAAAGTGCTCGTTCGCCACTCATTTGGCATCTTCTTCGTTTTCAAAATCCTATTGAAAAGGTCAGTGAGCCATGTTATACCTGTCTCTCCCAAAACTTTCCACACTTCGATTGGTATATTGTCTGGGCCTACTGCTTTTCTATGCTTCATCTTCTTCAAAGCTACAACCACTTCTTCCTTCCGGATTCGACGATAAAAAGAGTAGTTTCTACACTCTTCTGAGTTGCTCAACTCCCCTAAAGAAGCACTCCTTTCATGTCCTTCATTGAAAAGATTATGAAAATAACCTATCCATCTATCTTTAACCGCGTTCTCTGTAGCAAGAACCTTTCCATCCTCATCCTTGATGCACCTCACTTGGTTTAGGTCTCTTGTCTTCTTTTCCCTTGCTCTAGCTAGTTTATAGATATCCAACTCTCCTTCTTTGGTATCTAGTCGCTTATACATATCGTCATAAGCCGCTAACTTAGCTTCTCTCACAGCTTTCTTCGCCTCTTGCTTCGCTTTTCTATACCTTTCACCATTTTCATCGGTCCTATCCTTGTATAAGGCTTTACAACATTCCTTCTTAGCCTTCACCTTTGTTTGTACCTCCTCATTCCACCACCAAGATTCCTTTTGGTGTGTGGCAAAGCCCTTGGACTCTCCTAATACCTCTTTTGCTACTTTTCGGATACAACTAGCCATGGAATCCCACATTTGGCTAGCTTCCCCCTCTCTATCCCACACACACTGGGTGATTACTTTCTCTTTGAAAATGACTTGTTTTTCTTCTTTTAGATTCCACCATCTAGTCCTTGGGCACTTCCAAGTCTTGTTCTTTTTTCTCACTCTTTTGATATGTACATCCATCACCAACAAGCGATGTTGATTAGCCACGCTCTCTCCTGGTATAACTTTGCAATCCTTACAAGTTATACGATCCCCTTTCCTCATTAGAAGAAAATCTATTTATGTTTTTGACGACCCACTCTTGTAGGTGATCACATGTTCTTCTCTCTTCTTAAAGAAGGTGTTGACTAAGAAGAGATCATATGCTATTGCAAAATCCAAGATAGCTTCCCCATCCTCGTTTCTCTCCCCAAAACCATGGCCACCATGAAAACCTCCTTAGTTGCCTGTATATCAATTCATTGGATAACATTTGGAGCACCGGCTCATGGAAAATCAAAACTTCACACGACTCAAGATTGCCTAGATGTAATTTACGTGTAAATAATTTTCAGGCAGAAGTTACCTTGATATAACAATAAAAGGTGTTATCTTTCCCCTCCCACAATCTCCAAGCTAATACATATTCTCTGGCTGTCAACAGTGGAAACTATTTTATTGTCCGACCAACTTCAACCCCCTTGTTTTTGTCCATCTGCAACTGTTCATGCTGAATCAGCATCTTATCCCATTGCTTCCTGTAATCATTGTCCATGTAGAAGTCTCTCAGCTTCTCAGGAGAGCAATTCTCAAATATCGTCACGCTCAAGTATGTCAAAGAACTATCCTGAATGCAAGAAAAAAGATACATTATCTTGTTTCCATAGCCTTTATTCACTAAAACCAGTAAAGTAAAACAAGGAATCAAGTATTTGTGCGACCTACAGATTCTAGACCAAGAATAGATGCCTGTGGTAAGTTTGGCGTAATGAAAGGGTACGAAAGCATTTAATAATCAATTCAAAGAATCTGAATCCCACACAAATTAAGCACAAGATGAATGACCTTAGGCTTGCAGCACTTCGCATAGTAGGATAGAATATCATTTCTTTTGTCTATGACCTTTTCCCATTTCTCATTTTCGCCCATTTTCTCCTCCAAGTTATCAATCAGAAACTTCAAATCTGCATCTGTCACCAGTTCCAGGGTGCTGCAGAAGTAAACAAAACGAACAATTAAGTAACAGAATCCTAACTTGATCCCACGAAACTGGATTTCTAAAATGTCAATTACCAATCACCCCAAAGTTCTACTATATTTTTAACAAAACTGGAGATGAACCACAAACCCAATGAACATATCCACATCAATAAAATGAAGGAAAGCATCAATTGATCAAAACCCAACTATCATATAACTTAAATTGATCAAACCCAAATACCAAATTGTACAAAAATAAATCGAAAACCAATTGAATATAGATAAAACCCAACTCAAAAACCAAGTGAACAAAACCCAATTAGCAAAATCTCAGATTTTAACCCAGAAATCACCAAATTAGAGAAAAACAAAACGAACTCAATTGAGCATAGGCAAACCCCAGAAGGAAAATCACCTGTGCGGCGGAATCCGAGACCCAGAAGTGGGGAGATCAGAATCCGAAAGACCGACCGGAGAAGCACTGGAGCCAGAGGGTTTTCCAAAGAAGAACCTCTTGGCACAGTGGCAAGCAAAGACGAAGAGCACGGCGACGAGAGTGGCGAAACCGCCATGGATATGTTCGCGCCAAAATTCCTCCGACGACCGTACGAATAGGCCGTGAAATCTGCTCGAATCCGCGATTTTGACCATCTCCGTCGATTTGCGATTGCGATTGCGATTGATCTCTGGTTCGATAATCGCATAGTTATACAGTCACAAGGAGCTTTGGGGTTGTGGTGCTCTCCTGTTTGTATAAGTCATACAATCATTATGCACGCATCGGATCGTTGCGCGAACAACTCAAGGCATCGAAGAAGTCACGGAAGGAGAGGGGCTAAAATAGTCTTTTCAGTTGGTGGACCTTTTGGTTTATATTATTGTTTGACACGTGGTACACTTCGCAGGTTGCAATGGAAGTAAAGAGTGGTCTATCGAGAAATTTTTAGTTGTGACGAGAACACATGTGGTACATCACGTGTTTTTATGTAAATAGTGAGAAATTTTATTTTTGTAAGTTATTAACTTTTTAACACACATATCCCACCATTTATATAGCAACATGTGGTTACCACCCCTTGTGACGGTTACATTGAAAAATCTCTCAGTTTATCCGAAAGATTTCGGTGTAAGGAGAACACGGTCCAATACCTAATTGTATTATAACATTTTGTGTAACAACTTCTAGGTTTATCCTTGCTCCTATCTCAATTCCATTCCCATTGCCATCCTTTGTTTTCCTTTTTATTAGGGTATGTTGATTAGAGTAGGGGTGGGCAAATGGGTACAGGAAACGAGGGTCAGGGTGAGAACGGGCCGGTTCTTAATTTTGTAAAAACAGAACGGGGTTGACCGGGATGAGCCTTTGAAGTTTTCGATTCGGGCCAGTTCCAAAAGTATAGGAATCGCGGGTACCCGGACCGGCCCGTTTGTGATTACAATGGACAGACGAGATTTAAGATATCATCTCTCCATCCAATCTCAACCGTTAGTTTCAGCCCTAGCCAATTCCACCTCTCGAGTTCCAGAATCACCCTCAGTCTCTCAGACTCTCAACTCTCCCTCGACTCCCTGTCCATGTCCCTTCCTTCAACTCCAATTCTCAGACTCTCACTCACAGTGCTCACTGTCGTCGGGACGAACACAATAGCACCAACTCCGCCGTCGCGACCACCATCAATCACCCCATCACCATCGTCGAGCTCCAACACTCAAACTCTCACAGCGCTGTCGCGACCAACACAACGGCACCACCTCAGCCGTCACGACCACCATCATCACCCCATCACCACCGTCGAGGACACTGCTACCAGTACCAACCATCATCCCTCTAAAATTTAGGTAATTTTGAATTAGGTTTTATTATTAATGTGAATTTCTGGTGTAGGGATTTTAGGGGTTTTATGTTAGAATTTGTAGATTGGTGATTGAATCATGTTGCCACCATTTAGGTTTTTCTTAAAATTTGATAACAAAGTTCTTACGGAAAAATATTAATGTTATTAATGTTATTTGGGTTACTGAAAAATATGTTTTTACGGAAAGCAATGAGATTCATTGTACCGTTTTTATAAGTATAGGGTTTAGGATCTGGAATATGAACTGGGAACTAATTGAGGTGTAAAAATGTTTCAGGATCTGGAATATGAACTGGGAGAAGTAGAATTTAGAGATGAAATTTCGGATGTCAAGTTCAGTAAGGTGAGAATCATGTCTTGATCTCAATCTGTACAAATGATAGACATAATATTGCTTGGTGCCTATAATAATAGTTAATAGAGGCTGATTGTAACTGTAATTTTTCTGAAGGTTCTGAGTAAAATCTAGTTCGTGGCCTTTAAGTATCATTTTCGCATACTACCTTACTCTTCACTTGTTCTACGTTCTCTTGCTTCATTTAAAGGTAGGGTTCACTTGCCATAGGGTATCAAATCTCATTTACTCATATTGTTTGTATCTTTATTCTTTAGGACACTCGGTAGGCTGTGTTAATTTGCCATACACTTTGTTTGTTCCTTTCTTCGCATACGTATAAATGTAAAATCTATTGTGTAAAACATGTTAGTTTAGGCTTGGTAGGTATTGGTATAGCACATACAGGAAACTTTGGACCATTCATTTGATTTCTTTCATGATTCTAATTAATGAAAAGATAACATGTTTGATGATCAAGGGTGTTGGTACCATATATTGGGCCTCGTCTTTGGGCCTCACCCCTAAGCCCATGACAAATGTAAAAGGGGAGGGAGCCCTTATTCTATAAAAGGGACTCTCTCTCACCCTCATGAAAAGGGCCTCACATCAGAGAAACAAAAGGGTCTTAAATCCATCCCTCACAACAATGGAGGGTAATACCCTCTTAACCAAACAGAAAGCAAAATGGCAAAGGCTGCATCCACAGAGAGCTCACTTGCCAATCTATTGCAATCCATACATTCGTACAGTAAATGGAATCAACATCAGTGTGGACGTAGCCCAAACATTAGGGTGAACCACGATACATCTTTGTGTTCTTGAGCATTTGTGTGATTCACGGCCGGATTTACGTTGGTCCAAGATCCTCCGAATTTTGTGCATCAACATTTGGCACCGTCTGTGGGAAACGACATGAAAATCTATGTCAGTTCTCTTTCATTTTTTTCATCTCACCACCGTGAATCTGCACAACCCAGGAATGCACCAAAAACCCCACCCAAAATCTCTCTTTGTTTTTTCGTGAAGGCAGCAACCATGGCGTCCCTCTCCTTGGTGATCTCCAATAATCCCAGCCACACGCTCTTCCCCAACGCAATGGCTCACGACACCAAGCCCAGGAAGCTCTACTACTCTCATTGCCCTACATTTCTTCTCCCTCATCACTGCTCTCCCATTTGCAGGTTTCTTTAGGGGCTCAGAGAGAAGAACCAATGGCAGCCATAGCTCGCGTCTCCAGAAAAGCCTTAGCCTCCTTCTTCGCCTCAAACCCACCAATTCTGCCATGTTCAACTCACTGAGTCAACTCGTTCCCTCACTCGCTCCTCCACTGCAATTCACCGCCAACCTCTTATTGGCCCGAGCCCTCAAATCCATCGCCAACCTCTCTCTCTCTCTCTCACAAAATCTGGTCTCAGCCTTCACGTCCATCCACGGTCGTCGTCCCCAAGCAGGTTTCGCCATGGCAGAGTCAATTCTCGAGCAGCTAACATGTAAGGTGGAATTGCAATCCCCGCATAGAGCAGACTCTATCCTGGCCCTTCTTAGCAGCCATGGCCTCTCTGCAACCCAGATTTCAAAGCTTATCCATTGCTACGACATCTGACTCTCAGGGACACGCTTAAGTCGGTGCTGATCCCTTGCTACGACATGTCGTCCTGCGCGTCGTTTTTGTTTTCGTGGGCGGACACGGTGGAGATGAACTGCTACGATTCTAAGATGATGGACGTGTGCGCTGCCACGTCGGCTCAACCAGCCGTTGAGGTGAGGTCGGTGGACGGGAGAACAAAGCTCATGGCCGTTGATGGTGGTATCGCTATGAACAATCCGACGACTGCAGCTATTACGTAGGTGCTAAATAATAAGAAGGAGTTTCCGTTCTGTAATGACATTGAGGATCTCTTGTTCGTGTCTCTCGGAAATTGAGAGTCCGAGTTTAGAAATTTGTCGCCTTCTGGTTACCTCAAAATCACCAGTGAATGAGCTTCGAACTTGGGTAATTCTCTATGCGGGCATCCCCTTGATGCTTGTCCTGGAGACGGTGGCGCAACTCCCAAGTTTACCATAGGAGGAGATAAGATCATTTTCTCATTATAATTCATTATTCCCTTGTCTGCCATCTGCCAAAAGAAAAAAAACAAAAAAGCTTTACTTTTTCTTTGTCTGCCATCTGCCAAAAGAAAAAAGCGAGGGAAGGAAAAACGAGGGCAGCGTGCGCATGTTAGGGAGTAAAAGAGGCAGTAATTGAAGGGAACCATGAAATAGAGGAACAGGCTGAAAATAAAACATTTTTTAGGCTTATAGCTCTCGGTTTGCATTCCCATTTGAAGAAAGCGGATCCTCGTCCACATTCTGCTACCCATTTAATGCAGGGGGATTCATTTTATAATGAGTGGAGCCTACACTGACTCTAGCAAATCAAGGAAGCAATATAAGTGGTTGTCGACCACCAACTTCTAAAAAAAGGATGAAACTTGGGGAGTGCATGTTCCCTGCCCATTTTCTGAAAATACCACGAGAACAAGATAAGATTTTTTTTTATTACTTTATTATTATTTTGATAAGATCCTTTTCTTATAATAATCCTATTATTATCCTTTTTTGATATTGTCTGCCATGCTTAAAAGAAATCACATCATCACATCATCACTGAAAATGACATCGTTTGCCTTACAGTGTGCATATTCTTTTACAGTATGCACATGCTTTACAACGTTTGCTTGTCTGCAATCTTCCTTACAATTATTTTATAAATTAATATTTTATTATTGCATCTTTAATCATTCCTGACTTCATTATTTAAAGGAGTAGGGTAAAACTTTATTATACAATATTTATTGGCCTAGAGTATTGTGACTGCCATTAAACTATGTCACTTATATAACATGTGATTTACCACACGACTAAATAAATTATTTATTTATAGAAGGCACATAGTACAATATTTTGCCTTGACAAACTTTGTCAATTTGATGTATTCATTATACGGTCATACTTATATTGTCATTTATTGTCAGGAATTATTGAGCAACTAGATCCACTGATCAACATTATTGCTGGTTAAAGAAGTCTACCAACACTATTGGTCAACCTATGGATCACTGAGCCACATGCTTATGGTGACAAATATTTAGTCTGAACAATGATCTCTTGTCTAACCCGACAAGCGGACCCAAGTCAAGAATCAACTCAGACTGAGTGCATGTCGACATAAAGTAGATACTTGCAATAAGGAATACCATGAGCCGAGCCGCCTCGCAGCGAGCATAGCCTCTAGCCGAGGAGCCTCGCAACGAGCATTGCCTCCAGCCGAGCAACCGCCTCGCCGCAAGCATAGCCTCTAGCCGAGCAGCCTCGCAACGAGTATCGCCTCCAGCCGAGCAGTCTCGTAACGTGTGATACCTCTAGCCGAGTATTGCTTTATGTTGAGCATTGACATGTCATGTTTATGTTGTTTTGGATTATTTGAGATTTTTGGACTTTGGAATTTGGATGTCTTAGACTTTCGGATATTTTGTATGTTGATTTGATTTTTAGATGTTCGACGATGTAATATTGTTATTTGGATGTATTGTTAATATATGAACTTGGATGTTGGACTTTGTATTT